TTATTATTTATAAAAATAATTGAATTCTTGAAAAGAACTTTGTTAACTTTTTTTAAATAATTGAATTCTTGCGACGAATTTTATAAAGATCTTTTTTAATTGAATTATATATCGAAGAAATTTATTAAAAATTTTGTAAATAATTGAATTCTTGTGAAATTTTGCCAAGAATTTTATTAAAATTTTGGAAAATAATTGAATTTTGAAGAAGAATTTTATTATTTATAAAAATAATTGAAATTTTGACGAGAAATTTTCAAAAAAATTTTTAACATAATTGAAATTCTGTAGAGAATTATTATATTACTTTTGAAAATAATTAAATTTCTGAAATCATTTGTAACTTTTCCAAACTTCAATTTTTTTTAAAAATATTTTTAACTAAAATTCTTCTATCAATCTAGTATTTATGAAAATTGTAAAAAATTATTCATTAAATAATTTAAATAATTACCAACCATTGGAACTATACCATAGTCAGTAATTATCAAGAATGAAAACAAATCAGTCCACAATTACTATTTTACGGTATTTCTACAATGGTAAACCACCATTGTTCTTTCTAATAATAATATCAAATTTTTTCCCTTTTATGAAAATTGAACGAAAATTTCTAATAAAATTCTGAAAATGTGTTTCGGATTGAACTAGATTCATTTTTCCAAAGCGTGTGGGATGCGAGCAACCTACACGTGTGGAGAAAATTTTTCCCCTTCAACGAGAAAGAGAGAGAGAGAGAGAGAAAAAAAAAGAGAGGGGGGAGTTTCAATGAAAAGAAGCTGAACTAAAAGAAAGAATGAAAAAACAAAAGAGTGAATGAGAGAGACAGAGAGAAGGAGAAAAGGCGGCTTATGTATCGAGATTGCAAAAGCATAAAGCACTAACGAAAATAAATTTTGTCGTGCATCGTACATAACCTATACACTCCATAGAATGATAGCTATTTCCGTTTAGAAAGAAAAGAAAAGAAGTAAAAAAAAAAGTCGTGATGCTACTGTCTGTGTTTGAGCTTTCTAAAGATAAAAGCGTCTGAGGCGTTTCAACTTGAAAATCACTTTGGACCATGAATTCCAATCGGATCGGTTTGTCTCATCTCGACTCCTCTCTCACCCTGTGCGCTTCTTTGATGAGATCCTCCCCTCCCCTGTGGGGAGAGGAGGAGTTATATAGTAAAAAGTACGAAAACGACAATGAGACACGACAATCCCTATTTTCTCAAAAACTCTATAAGATAAAGGTTATTGCAGAGGGACCTTAATATTCTATACATATATTGCAGAAGGAGCTTAAAAAATATAAATTCATTATCTTCTTCTTCTTAAATGACTTTAAGCATCACCTGAAGAATTGAAGGATTGCAGAAGGACCTTACAAATATAGACATTTTATAATGAATATATTTTTAAGCTCCTTCTGCAATCCTTATTCAATCTCTTGTATAAACTATAATACGTATATAATATTAGGGTCCTTCTACATTTCTTTAATTCTTTATATTATAATAAATTATAAACATTTTTAAAATAAATACATTATATTATTTATATTTTTAAGCTCCTTCTGCAATTCTTCAATCCTGTATAATCTATAATACGTATATAATATTAAGGTCCTTCTACACTTCTTTAATTCTATAATATATTGAGCGCGTAATTTATCGTTCCTTGTCGATAAAGAAGAAAGTTATTGCAGAAGGACCTTAAAAATATATATGTTACGTCATCGTAATAAATAAATATATAACAAACTATAAACAATGAACGAGATTGTAATAATAAATAATGGGAAATTGTAATTAACAAATAACAGAATTGTAATATATACATGTATTTTAAAGGTCCTTCTGCAATAACTTTCTTCTTTATCGACAAGAAACGAAAAACTACGCGCTCATTTTAAGGTACTTCTACAATAATAACAATTTCTTCGTCAACAGGCCGAAAATGACTTAACAGACAGCAAGAAGGTCCTTCTACAATAATGTCATTGCCACGAAGAGAGTCTAAAAAATATGCGCGCGCAGCAAAGGTACTTCTACAATAACAATAATAAAATTCAGAATATAAAAAAATTTTTTTCTTTAAAAAAAATTCTTTAATAATAACAATGAACTTTTAAAAAAGAGAAGAATGTGAGTATTTTTATATTAAAAAAAAAATCAAGATTGATGCATATTTATCCAAGATGATGAATTTTACAGTAGAAAGTCAATTTGAATGAGAACAAAAGAATAATCATTTCTTTTTGTTTTGGGTTTAGATTAGAAAATGAAACAATCATTATTCTCTCTCTCTCTTTCTTTCTCTCTCCTATCTTCTTAAACTCGAAATATATCTTTTGGAATATAATCCCCTATACTAGACTGCATCCGTGATTCATGAAAGTTCGTATCACCGGAAATCGCACGGCACTTGCTTTTTAATTTTACCGCTTCCTACGTCCCTCTCTCCTTAATAGTAACTATACACCTATAAAGGCCCACCCACGAATTTATAAATAAGTTGCAAAATAATATCGCGACATTTAATTCGATTGCGATTAAAAAAGCTTTTTTCCTATTCGATTATGTAATAAGTATATATATAACGTTCCTGAAGTTAGCGTCGATGCTCATCATCAAAAATACGATTTTTTCTGGATTTGAGACTATAAATTCATTCTTTTTATTCGCACTTCAAGCCACTTATTTTTTCACCTGTTTAAAAAAAATGGATTCATTTTTTAGGGAAAAAACGTTTTTCGACTCTGAGCGTCGACGCTAAACTTCACGGATATTAAATATACGCGAAAAAAACGAGTATAAAGGTAAAATTTGCCCTCATTTATTTACCTAGGGAGCTAAAAAAATTAAAAATTTTCTGATTTTCGCTAAAAAAAACTTACATTAGTCTAAATAATGACTATTAATTCTTGTAAATATAGGAACTAATTTTAAAACCTAAAATTGTCTAATTTTTATTTTAAGCCCAAAAATGAGTTGAATTAAAAAAAAAAAAGTTTTTTAAAAAATTTTTTTCTTTAATATTCAACTTATTTTTGGGCTTAGGATAAAAATAAGACAATTTTAGGTTTTAAAATTAGCTCTATATATATATAATACGTACAATAAATATAAAGGTTATGAAGTTAGAAATATTATCGATTAGTCAGTAAACGAACGTTCATTTAACGAGGTTAACAACCCTGGCTTGGGTGGCCCGATTCGAAGTGCAAGAAATTAATCGAGATCGTGTACTCTGTGGCTTTTATTTTACGAGCCTAAGATCTACTGTACAGATATATTTATATATAGTTATAATACTTTTTTAAAACTCTGGCTTTACATATAAATATATTTCAATTTTAATAAAAATCATTTATTTTACGAAAAAAATGCAAAAAAAAAAAATTAATTCTCAATTATTTATTAATTATGAAATTAATTAATTGAGTAGAGTTAAATCCTTCCATAATTTAGTTGATATTATTATATTAATAATTCTAAAATAATAATTATTTTTAAGCAAATATAATATTAATTAATAATATTATATAATAATAATAATAATAATAATAATAATAATAATCCAAGAATCTTGGATTTAATCCAGGTATCTGAATTTATACTATTTAATTTAATTATACTCTTTCCTTTAATATAATAATATATATTTATAGATAAGAATAAATAAAAACTACATCCGCTGCTAAAGAATGTTACTTTCACGTAAAAATTTAGAAAATACAAATATATAATTAATTAATAATAATAAATATAAATAATAATTAATAATTCATATATTTTCGATTTTTCTAAATTTTCTATCGAAAATTTCTATAATTTCTGTTAATAATTATTTTTTCCACTAAATAGTAATTTTTATTAATATAGTAAGCACTTTTTATTATTACAATTATCATATTTTTATTGATATTGTTAATTTATAATTTTTTATTAATAATAAATTCTTTATAAAATTTTTTTATTAATATTTATTATTATTATTATTATTATTATTATTATTATTATTATTAGCATTATTATTAGCATTATTATTATATTATTATTATCATTATTATAATTATATTATTATATAATAAAATTATGTATTTATTATTATTATTATTAATATTATTATTACTAATAATTAATATTATTTTCAATCTTACAAAGAATATATTTTTACATTCACTAACCTATCATCGTATCATCTAAAAAAAACAATAACTGAAATTCATCTAAAAAAACCTAACCTCAATAATAAAACAGGAAAATTTTCTGGTATAAATAATTTATTATAATTCATAAAAAAGAATATCATCGATTAAAAATGAGGACAAAAAAATTTACGAAGAAATTTCGAAACGAGACTCCAGAAAATAGGGAGGAGAAGTGACAAAATAAAATAAATGCCACAAACAGTGTTAAAAGGCGAGCACTGCATCAGTTTAAAAAGAAAAAAATCACCAGAGACACCAGACACATCAACGAACGACGAGAAAATAAAATTCTTTCCCACTCTCTCTCTAAAAAAACCAAAAATTCGTCTGCTGGATGCAGGCAAACATAACTGATGGGAGCTTATCAAAGACATTTTCGTCACTGAAGAAGAAAAGTTGGGTTTTTTAATGGAAAGAAAAAAATTCGTCTGCTGGAAACGCAGGCAAACGTTGAAGAGTAAATGGGAAATTATCAAAGAATTTTTCGTTAGTGTAGAAGAGAGAGAGAGAGAGAGTAAAAAGAGAAAAGAGTAAAGAAAGGAAAGAGAGGAAAGAGTAAAGAAAGAAAAGAGAGGAAAAAGAGGAAGAGAGTGACGGAGAGAGAGAGAGAAATTGACAATCGAGACACGAGAGAGTGAGTCATTGACAAACGAGAGGTTAGGATTTTCCGATTTTAAAGAAAGAAAAAGAACAAATTCTTTTTCATCCCAATATTTTAACAAAATTTCTCTCAATAAATATCAAACTATTATAATTATCACTATTTTTTTTTCAAAATAAGGGAAATACTGTCGACTAACCTGTAAGTTTAGCGAGGAAGCGAAACATGCCAGCGGCGGAGGACAGGCAATGAGCCGCAGTTCCAGTGGCAAGAATTCCAGCGGCGATCGGCATTCGCCTTGGTGTATTCGTTCGCGTGCTTCTTTCCCGTATCTCTCTTCTTTTTCTTTCTTTTTTTTATTCTTCTTCTTTTCTTTCAAAAAAAAACTATTTTTTCTTCTTCTTTAATTTTATTTTCTTCTCTCTCTTTTTTTCCCCCTTTTTTCACCTGTATATAACCCTTTCGTTCACGTATATATATACATACATATATACATATAAATAAAAGAGAAGAAGGAGAGAACCCGGTTCGTCTCGACGGTTAAGAAATCCCCTTTCGCGGTCGCCTCCTCTCTTGAGAAATCCGCGAGGAGCCGGGCGGCGGTGACTGTGTGTAAAATGTTTGCAAGAATGTGTTTGTATGTGCGCGCGAGAGAGCGTTTGTTGTTGTGTATATTAAAATACGTGTATATGTTACCTTTTGCGGCCGAACCTAACCTCACCCGTGAAAAACACACTGTGGCCACTAAGCACACGATATATTATTTTTATAAATTTGACACACAAAAAAATCTCTAAACACTTGATTTTTTTTTCAAAATTCCCACACACACTTTTTAATCCTTTAATTATTTTCTTTTTGTCCTAGAGAGAACAATTGGTGCATCGTTCTCATAAGGGGGTGATGGTGATGATGATGGTTTGTTGGTGGGTAAAAAAAAGAACAGGGGGGGGGCACACACACTTAAACTTCCGCTCACCTGGTGGTCTCACATTTGAGCAAGAGAGAGAGAGAGAGATGCTTTTCCTTTTCTTCTTCTTTAAAAAAAATTCACTTTATAATTTCCGGTGTTGTTTTTTTCTTTTTAGGAAAAAAAAATACTTGTCAATAATATATAAAGGCACTGTAAATTGTAAAATTACTTAGTGTAACATGGTAACGATGAATAAATGTGTTGTTGACGAGCAAAAGTTAAAGTAGTAGCAGGAGTAATACAGACGACTCCATCGCTTGAGCGCCATTGCCACATCATTCGAGTCCAACGACAAACGCGTAACGATAATAACGCGATGGGAACTACTGCGTGCGAGCGCATAATATTACAGGTGGAAAGTCACTGTCCCTAGTTGAAGGCCAGTCAAACTCGATGTCTCCGGATAATTATTTTCATATACATTTCAAAAAAGAAAAAAAACTCAGTTTTCTTGATTCTCTTGTTATTATTGTTTAATACCTTTGATGTCTATCTACATGTGTGTGTGTGTGTGTCTGTCTGTCTCATTCCATGCGAATGTTTCTCTCTTGTAGAAAAGAAAAAACGTCTGCTACGAGACTGATTTTTTAAATTTTTGCAATGTCCTGATTTCTTTCTTTTTTGCGAAAAACGTCCTTATTTCCATTCGTTGATTTTTCTTCTCCTTCTCTATTTGATTAATATACACACAAGAATGGGCGTGAGTGAGAAAGAAAAAAAGAGACTATATATATATATATATATATGTATATTAGTGTGGGACGTTCGCGAAATTTTTCGTTCGTGAAAGAAAGAGGGGAAAATAATGGAGAATAAAAACCACCCGCACGAGTCAACGGTGCCGAGACAACTGACTGCATTGCATCTGCTCGACGAGAGACCAGAAGAGAACGACAGAGTGAGAGAGAGAGAGAAAAACTGTCTTTCTCTCTCTATCCCTCCAACAACCCTGGAAATACATGAATCGGTTGTGGTTGTGCGCTCTTTGTTGCACTTATGGCAAGGATCGTTTCTTTCTCTTTCTCTCTTACACATGGCTTTTATTCGTCTCACTCTATATTCCTCTCTGTCTTTCTTATACTCTTTCGCCATTCTTCGCTTTCTCACTCCACTATACTTATAACTTTTTCCTTCTTACACTCACTAGTTACGAGTGAGTAAGACATAATCTTTCCCCCTCCTTATTCCTCTCACTACATAAGACTGAAAGAGTGAGTGAGAAAGAGAGAGCCTACCCCCTCTCCTGACACCATGTCAAGAGTACAATAGCCGCACAATATGGGGGTTCCTTTAGCTCCCCCGAAGGGAATCAACAAAAAAATTAACACACGTTCTTTTTCCATTTGTCACCATTAATTTATAATCAAATATTTTTATCAAAAAAAATAATAATTTTTGAAAAATTTGACTTTAAAATAAAAAAATTTAATTAACGGAACCCGTAATACGTAATAATGTTAAATATTACGTAAATTAACATATTACGTAATTATACATAACTTTACGTAAACTAATATAATATTACGTAATTATACATAACTTTACGTAAACTAATATAATATTACGTAATTTCAAATAAAATAATTATAAATATAATGTAATATTACTTAATTTTGCGTTAATTAATAACGTAATTTTCAAAAAATAAACGTAATTTTACGTTAACTAATAACGTAATTTTCAAGAAATAAACGTAATCTTACGTAATTTTACATATTATTACGAATAAAAATACGTACTTTTACGTAAATGAATGCAAAATAATTACATATACTTTTACGTAAACTAATGTAATATTATACCTAATTTTACGAAAATTAATTAAATACAACGTAATTTTAGAGAAAAATATTTAATATAACGTAATTTTACGTTCACTAGTTGTAATGTTACGTAATTTCACCTCAGCTAATTACATATAAATAGAAATTCGTAATTCTTACACTTTTAAAAAAATAATGTCATATTACTCTTGAAATTTTAGGTTATATTAAAATTGTTCTCGTTTGGACATTTTTCCATATATATAAGTTTGTTATTTTTGGGGCAATAAAATGTAAATTTAGTTTAAGGAAAAAAAACAGGTTAAATTGTTTTCATGATGAATACAACTATCTTTATCATAAATTTATAGTATTAAATAATTTCTAATTGTACATTACAGATGTAATAAAATTAAAAACTCACCGAAAAGTTAATTTCTCCCTCGCACCATGTCCTCGATGTAAATATTTGTGACAATGCGACAAACCAAATTTCTTTGTGAATAAAATGATGAACCAAAAGTATGTTTCCTCCAATTGTCAAAGCACTTTTCTTCTGTAATAATAAAACTAACACTTTGTCATTTGTTCGTTGAATTTTATAATTTAATCAAATTTCTTTTTCTATTTAATAACAAAAATGAACAAGAAAACGCACGAGGCAAACTTTCAATAATGTCGGTCACCTGACCACGCCACCGGCGATTTAAGAAGCCTGGTGAATGTTTCTGGAACTACGAGGTAGTTTAAATGCTTATAAGAAGCAATTTCATTGGTCCGCTTCTCCCGCGACAATTCAAAATACGAAATTTAAATTTAGAATTTGTAATCATTAAATGGTTCATTCTTTATTCAGGTATGTAAAACGGGTTGCATAAATAAATAATTTTTTCCTTATTATTTACAAAGATTTAATTAATTAAGTTCAACTATTTTATTAATTATTAATTATGTTTAATTAATTATAAACTACAAATAAAAGTAAATAATAAATAATAATAAATAAAATAATAATAAATAATTAGAGTTACTTTGAAATAATAAAAAATATGTTCTAAAAAAATAGTAAAATAAATACAAAAAAAGCAAAGATAATAAATATAACAAATTAAAAAAAAATATTTATAATAAATATAATTATTTTTTAATTAAATTAATATACGGAAAAGAAAATACATAAAGAAATAAATTAAATAATAAAAAAGAAATTAAAATTTTAAGAAACAAAATAATTTTTTAAAATAACAATTTTCTTTAATAATTTAAAAATTAATAAAAAATTGAATACGAAAAAATAAAAAAATTATTAAATTAATGAATTAATTAATTTAATTTAAAAATTACATAATATCATAATTATTATAATTTAATAATTATTAATTATACTACTAAATATTATTAATTAATAATATTGATGATAAATATTAATTTTAAACAAAAAGTTATGTTTTTCAAAATTTATAAAATGACGTTTTTTTAAATTCAAATCTAATAAAATTCACAATCTAGTAAATTTAATAATGATATTAATAAATAATATTTGTTAATATAACATTATTAATAAAATATAATTAATTAAATATAATAAATATAAATTATTTTTTCATTTTTAATACAAATTTATATTTTTTAAAATGTAAATAAAATAAAGTTAATTAAATTTGTAATTTCAAATGAATATAAACTAATTAAAAATTCTAGTAAATTTAATAATTACATAATTAATAATAAAAATATATTAAATATTAATAACTATGAATAAACAATGAATAAAAGTTTATATTCTTTAAAATATGTAATAAAAAATAAAATTTTAAATTTTAAATTCTAATAATTAAATTATTTAAAAATTTGTTTAATTGTTAATTTAAAAAAAATTATAATTAATTATTTAACTATAAACTACACAAAAATTTATATACTAACAATTATTAATTAAAAATAAAAAAAAATGATTTATGAAATAATTGTTAGAAAAAATAAAATAAAAAAATATATTAAAATAAAAATAAAAAAGCGATTGGAAAGTTTCAAAAAAATGTTTTTTTCTCAAAATAATGAAGACGGCCCTGTGAATGATCGACCGTCTCTCTTGTACTAATGGCTAGTAAATTTTTCTCTCTCCCACGAATGAATTGGTTCACTTCAGAGACAAAGTGAGAGAGAGAGAGAAAAAGCTAGAAAGTCGAAAAGAACCGATTCAATTTACCGACAATGTACGAATAGAATTTCCCGCATTACATTCAAGAATGAGGTGAAATTAGTTGTTACAAATACACATTCATGCATTAATGAACTATTTTTTGGCTGATAATGAACAAAAAATTAAAAAAAAATTTTTTTTAGTTCTTTTATTGAAATTTTTTTTTTTATTATCAATTATAATAATAAAAAGGAATTATTAATAAATTGGAAAATGTATTGCTACTTTAAAATAATTACTTCATAAAAATATTTATAATTATTTAATTATAAATATATTTATTGTCCATTAAATTATATATTAGCAAATTTACCATTGTTTACTTTGTTATTTATTATTCGTTACCTGCAGGAATCGGTGTGTAGCGACTGATGCCTGACAATAGGCAACCAAATTTACAACCGCGAGTTTCTAGCTCTCTATCTCTCTCTTTCTCTCTTGAGAAATATTCTTCTTTTTAATTTAAAACTTCAAACGTAAATATTTTTTTCTATAGTATATAAATAATTGTATTTTAATTGATTGGTTATTATTAATTACAAATTATAATGTTTAATAATTATTAACATTAAGTAGTCATGATCCGATCAAAAATTAAGAACATCAATTTTTTTTGTGTACCAGTGTTATTGTAATAATTTAATATGAATTATTATTTTTAATAATAATTTAATATTTTAATGAATAATACAATATTTAATAAATATTTAATTATTCTAATTAATAATTAAGTTATAATTCATTTAATTAATTTTAATTACTATAGTTATAAAAGAAGAAGAAAGGTATAAGCACTGAAGAAAGGTATATCTGAGAAGTAATTTATTTTGAGGTTATATCAGTGTTATTTTTACTTTAATGAAAACTTATTTCTGTTTAATTAAATGTAAAACTAAAACCTGTTTTATTAATTATTTTTTATGTAATGAAAACTTAAAAATCAAATTTTGATATTGATCCCTTTTTATATAGTATTTTCATGTAAAAAATTAGAAACATAACCTACAACTTGCAAAATTATAAATTAATAATTATAAAAAAATAAAATAAAAATTGACAATATAAAATAATACTTTTCTAAAAATACCTAAAAATTATACAAATTAATATTTGTAGAGAAAATAAAAAAAGTTTCTCAAAATTCTTTCAAAAAAGTGTACCTAAAAGTATGGTGTGCTTGAAACTGAATAATGAACAGGTGTGTACGATGAAAGGTATCGGTACAGGCGTAAAATTCATATGATCTCCGCATGACTTTGCCGTTCACTATATATATGTATTTCTCTTTAAATTTATAATTTATACTACCATATTTAAAGAAAATCTAATTTTTACATATGTGAAACTTGATGATTTTCTGAGTTCATTAACCATAATAAAAATATTATGTTACAAATTTCATTTCCATTAATAATATTAATTTTATCAAAAGTAGGTGGTTCACAAGATGTGATATATCGTAATCTTAAATTTTTTAATTTTTTAAAAGCGGTTGTTATTCAATATATATATGTATATATATATAATATTAATATTTTATTATAATAATAATTAATCAATTAAATTATATATATATATATATATATATATATATATATATATATATATATATATATATATATACAGCACATGATATTTCCTGAATACTTCCTGAATATTTCACTGAAAGATTGAAATATTTCATTGCAAGATTCAGGAAATATTTCTGCAAACAGGAAAATGTCCGCTTATGTAGGAATATTGACGCGAAAATTGAGAAAATATTTCATTGAAATATTCCTGCAATATTACACATAAAGATTCTGCAATATTGTGAAAATATTTCAAAAAATGGAAAAATTTGTTAAACACCTCAAATCAATAGGAATTTTCTGAAATATTTTAAAACCCATAGGATATAGTAAGCCAAAAACTACTGCGCAACTCTACAGGCCATAGAAACTGAGTTCGACCAGTGCGCATCATTTCAGTTGAATATTTCCAAAATATTTCAATGAAATATTTTCTCAACTTTCGCGTCAATATTCCCACATAAGCGGACATTTTCCTGTTTGCAGAAATATTTCCTGAATCTTGCAATGAAATATTTCAATCTTTCAGTGAAATATTCAGGAAGTATTCAGGAAATATCATGTGTATGTGTATATATATATATATAAAGATGGATGAATTTGAAAATGAAAACAAAATATAAAAATGGATGATGTATTAACAACAGTCTCATTAAATTTTCATGTGAAAAGACTGCTTTGCATTAAGTGGGTCATATATACTGTAAGCATATATATATATATATATATATACGAATATATGTCGTCTATCAAATATAGTGTTTATTCTATACACTTGTAAAAATGTCCTTTTTCCCTTTTGACACTAGTTGACATCTATATAGAATATGTCGTGAGAACCGATTTGCACTAATTTCTCTATTTTTTTTATTTTGCATATATATGTAAATTTCTACCCCCTTCCCCCTCTTTTCCTCCTGCGCACTTATAATGTGAAAATCATTATAATATTACTAATAACCGGAAGAAATTAAATTTAAAAAAAAAAGAAGAAGAAGAAGTAGCAAGCCTCTTTACTTTTACTGCCTCGTCTATATTTTTCACCTAATCTTTATGTATAAATCTTCCCTATTCAACTTTTTAAGTATAAAATTCCAATTTTTAAGATTATACACTAAAATTTTTATTTTTAAGATTTGTACACTAAAAAATGACTTCACTTTTTATTGCTCTTTAAAATTAGATATATAAATTTTTTCAAATAAGAATTTGTAATTTTTTTTTCTTTATTAAGTATTTTTTTATATATATTGAAGACTATATAAAAGGGTTGGGGGGTTTCTTTTTAATTTTTGCAGGTATATTCTGGATTTAATTTTTATATTTATAAGAATTCTATGTGTTAATTATGATAATAATATTTTGTTTTATAAATTAAATTTTAAAAAAATACAAAAAAAATTGCTGAAGTGGGGGAAAGGGGGTGGTGGGGGTGATGGTAAATAAAAAAATCTAAAAATAGCATCGAATTATTGAAGCATCTCATCTCACCTGCTGCCAGACGAAAAACATCTGCAGTGCAATCTTGAAACACTATGGAATCATCATATTGACGATGATGACCTCACGCATCGCCGCTTCACTGTTTTCTCAACCATGGAAATTAATCAAGCTCAATATTACCACAGTCACAAATCTTTTGTAATAATTTGTTTAACAGTTTTGTCAATAAATTTAACAAAAATTTTTAAAATTTGAATTATTTTAAAAAAAAAAAAGTATAATAATAAGTTAGAAATTTTAATTAAAGTTAAATTTAATTTAAACATTTTTAATTAATTTAAATTAATAGTAAATAAAAAAAATTTATGGAAACTAAACTTATTCGATTTTCGCGGTTAAATATTTTAAATTATTGTGCAAAATGAGAAAGATGATCATAATAAATATTGTTGCATTGATTTTAGTAAAATCGATGTGTCCTTATTTCTGATTATGTCTGAGATAATTATATGATGATTGACTTCTAATGCGAAGCATACAATATCGATTTTATATATGAAAAAAAAAGAATCGTTTGTCTGAACTGCACATTAGTGCATCATTTTCTATGCAGAGAGTGCATTAGCGGAAATTTCCTGGCTTTTAAACCCGTTATCATTTTTATTTGCCTTAAATGTCTCTAATAAACGCTTTTTCTATCAAAATGAAAAAAAATAGAGAAAATTATTCTTATTTTAGGTAGAAAAAATCTTTTTTTAAATAAATAAAAAATTCTTCTAAGAAAAAAGAATTAATAAAATAATATACTACTAATACTGAAAATTAAAATAGTTACTATCATAAAATGATGGAATGGCGTTAATTTAATAAAAATGAATAAATTATTAATATTTGAGTTAATTATTATTAAATTATTTTAAATAGAATTACATTAAAAAATGAACTCAGAAATAGTTTTATAGTTAAAATTTTTTATTAAAGAAAGAAAATTTATTTAACTGTATATCAAAGTGCGAGACATTTTCGTTACGATTTTTTTATTTTGAAAGAGAAATTCATTGTTGTAAGTAAAATTCGCTTACCTAGCAGGATCTTCTATTGCTTTTATTTTTTCAATATAATTGATTGCTCCTTAGTTTTATATGCCTGATTGCGCCAGGTTTTTTTTAAATAAATACTTTTAAAATAATGTAAAATTTATACTTACTAGAAAAATTGTGAAATAGAAAATGAACTGTTAAACTTGTAGATCATCATGTAATCCTTATAGGTTAGAAATGCTGGTTGAAAATTTCCACAAATTCCCATTGAATTCTTGTCCTTTTTCACAGTAACTGCCCGCACTGTTTTTACTTTACCGTTTCCTCTGAAATTATAAATATATATTAATTTAATATTACTTATTTTATTCTATTTAATATTATTAAATATATATTCTTTTTTCAATAATTATAACCATTGTTTGAAGAATGAAATTTTAACTTTTTTCTCAACTATCCCAACCTTGCTCTCTGGGACTTTAAATGAAAAAAATATAGGTTATGTTTAGAAATGTCATTAAATCCTTAAAGATTCATTTTTAACTGCATGTGATCAAAAATAATTTCTATCAAAAATTTGTCATGACTTTAGACAATAAAAAAAGAATCTTCAATTCAAGCAGGAAACTTTTCTAAACATAACCTATAATTTTTTGCCATCATAAAATCCCTTCTTTTACCGCGCAGAAAACGTCATTTGTAATTTTAACACTATACTTCCCCTATATAATAGAATAGACGAAAGTGGTTATAAATAGAAAATAATTAAATGTAACTGATCCAAAATATTTCTTTTTCATGCGGCTAATTTTGTTTTCTTTGATTTAGAGGGAAAAATAATTTTTGAGCTAATTTTGAAAGACTATTATAATACACTTTCATTCATCGTTATATTTTTGTGCTACTGCATGAATATCAAAATTCAATATACGTATTGTATACCATTTAGACATAATAGATTTCTATCTTTCAATAGATATTTCCGCAAAAATAAAAATAGACCATTGCTATTGTATTCATGAATAACCGTTACCTGAGCTCGTCTTCAAGTTCATTCATCTTCCAAAATTCGTTGCTATATTAAGAATTTCCGCCCAGGCAGCAATATGTCAATATAAACCTATCATATCAAATTCGTCTTTCGTAATATAGTAATCGGGATCAACTTTTTAAAAAAAAATTTTACAAGATAATTTTAACATTTGAGTAAATTTTAGATTATGTACTGCTTTTTTACACTCGACAAGTTATTTTTGCTGTTTTTAATAGTATACTAACTTTAAGGTTAGAATATATATGTTTTTGAACCCCGAAAAAAATTTCCAAATGAACTTGAATTGAAAGTATTTCAAAATTTTAAGGAACCTATTTAAATATTTATTTTACAAAAATGATTGAAATTTGAAAGATTTAATTAAAAAATTCTGAAAAGATTACAGGTTCTTGATAAATGGTAATTTAAAATTTAAGATATACTTGAATTCCCGAAAATAATTTAAAAACTAATTGAAACAATTAGAAATTTTGTAAAATTGACTATAAAATAAATATGCTCTTTAAAATAAAAAAAAAACATTTTCCAAAGTTAAAAAGAGTTAGGTATAATTGTACATTATAGAAAACAATTTTCAAACTCAAAGAGACGTTGCGGCTAAACGATGTTCATATGGAGTTAGGTGACATATATATATATATATATGAATAAAAAAAATTATGAATTTATTGACCACATAGAGACATGTGATATACATACATTTAGATTTTGTGAGTGTGTACATTGTAGGTACAGGGTTATGATTTAATGGTTATAGTGATAAAAAATTTATAAGCAGAGTTCCTGACGGTAGCGCACGCGTCGTTATTAAAGAACCCCATGTTCCATCGAACAGGTATGTACAAGGAAGACTCCTGTTATACTATTTAGTGTAGTATCAAATTCCTTACAAAAAACGCCACTTTCATATGACAATGTTGTCAAATAAAAAATCGTTATTACCAGTTTTTATATTTTTTCTACCTGGTATTTATTCACAAAAATATGTAACATTACGTGAGTACAAAAAAATTTGTTCAATTACTTCTTTTTTTATTTTTTAAATTCCTATTTCACTTTATTCATAAATAATTTAGTTATTATTTTACACTTGAATTGAATTTTTTTTTTTTGAATTTTTTTTTCATTAATTTAATTTTTATAATTATTTAAATTTTACGAAAGTTAATTTTAATTAACATTCAGATTTTTGAGATCTATTTTTATTATTTTTAAAAGTTTTGATTTATTTAAATTTCAAACGACCAGAAATATTCGTAATAAAAAACTATAAACTACAAAAATTTAAAATATAAAAATTAATTTATATAATTTTATTATTCTTCACTTATTTTTATTAATTTGTTTATTTATTTTATTAACAATTATTACTATTAACTGTTATTTTCTTTATTCTTATTACTTTAAAAAAATATTTATTAGTCTCCAAATTTATCGTTATTATTATAAATTTCGTAATTTTTGCTATACTAAAACAAACGAAATAAATATGAATAACAATGCAATAGAAAATTATACAATTTTTTAGTTATTTTAAAAAAAGTAAAATCAAAAATAAACCGTGTATTAAAAAAAGTTAAAATTAAATATTACTAATAGATAAATAATAATTTGTTTAAAAAATTTTATTTCAGATAAAAATATTTTTTTGTTTATAATTTTTTTTATGTTTATTATATATTTCGAAAGGACTGAAATATATTTATTAGGAAATAAAATTTATTTTTTCTCTCTCCCTTATTACGTATAGTATTAATGAAATTGTACATTGACACACTTTATCAACAATCGTTGATAAATTTGTCTTCTTATTTCCTACCTCATATACATATAAACATAATTTTTGTTGTTTCTATTTATTCATTAGCCTAATCGAAATTTCTAACAAGCATTCTCACTTTTTATTTAGAAAAAAATTAAAATTAAGTCGAGTCATGAAAATTAATTAACATTCACATAAGAAAAAAAGAAAAATATTTCAGTAAATAAAATTTAGTTCTAAAAATATTTTAGTGTAGAAATCGTTAGTATAATTTATATTTATAATAATAATCTTTAACGTCCTTTGATATTAAATTATTCAAATAAAAACGATCACAAATGGACAATAACAGCTGTCCTTATTATTATTGTTATTGTCCTTTTGTGGTCAGTTTTATTTCAATAATTTATATTAATATTAAATTCTTCCGTATATTGAATTTTGCAGTTATTTTGTTTACATATCTTTTGACACATTATTATTATTAAAAAAATTAGGTAAAACTTTTTAAATATTTTTTTCTTTTTGTAAATTTTTACAAGTTTGATAATTGTTATAAATAATTACTTATTAAAAAAATTTGATTTCATCTAAATTAATACTGTTTTATTACATATTATTTAAAAATTCATATCCTTCTCGGAAAAATTAAATTAATTACTATAATTGAACTATAAAAAAAGAAGTAACCTTTAAAGTTATGTATATTAAATATTAATTTCTATTTTTCAATTAATTTTTAGTTAATAATGCCTGATTGCGCCAGGTTTGTTTTAAATAAATATTTTTTTTTAAAGAATACAAAAATATACTTACACGGAAAATTGTAAAACAGTCAAAGAATACATTGGTCATATTGTGTAGTTGTCTATGCCTGATTGCGCCAGGTTTTTTTTAAATAAATTTTTTTTTACAGATTACAAAATCTACATACTCGAAAAATTGTAAAACTTACCCAAAGAATAAACTGGTAAACTTAGGATTGAAATGCTAGTTGAAATTTTTAACATCTCATTGAATTTTTGTCCTTTTTCACAGCAATTATCCACCGTTGTCACTCTGCAATTTTTCTCTGAAATTAAAAATAATTATATTAAATATATAAAATGTTTCTAAAAATGAAATTTTTTAAAAAGTTTTCTATGTCTAATTGTGCCAGATTCTCTTTAATATAATTTTTATTAACAAATTGTAAAATTTACTTACTTATGTAGTTACTTATGTTTTACAATTGTAAAACATAACTATTAAAATATTATAATTATAATACAATAATATTATTATAACTAGCTGTCGTACCCGTCTTCGACGGGTTATAGTTTCTACCAATACATTTAAGTTTCTACCAATCTGGAAAATCAGGAAATAGCTAGGGAATTTAATTTGACCGGAAAAAAATAATAATTAGTTACCATTATAGATATTTTAGTAGGAAAATATTACTATTTGAATCAGTGATTGACTTTTTGTTATCAAATTAGTTATTTTAACCAATTCAAATGCAGAGAACAATATTTATCAATTTGTAGTACTTTAATTAATGTATTAAAAAAATTAAATTTTCCATACAGTTTTTGGAGTTATAGTAGAGTCTAATTGGAACTAATTGTATCGCAAGTAGACCCTACGTTACGACTGCTAAAACCTAACATAAGACCTAAATTTTAGGCTGAAAGTAGGGCTTAAATTTTGACTCGGGTCTGTTTTCATAAATATTATACATCAATAAAAATTGAAGTAAAAAGCAATTTTTTAAAAGCGAATTAATATAATGAAACTTTTTCTTAATTTGATAGGAAAATTCCCGGTTCGGCATATTCCCAGCTTTTTACAGTTTTTCCCGTTTGGTAGATACCCAGTTAAATGTATTAGTATAAACAGAAAACTGTACGACAGCAAGTAATACAATCTAAATTTATATGAACTTAAGAAACAGTATTTTCATAAAATAAGTAAATTTTTATAGCCATTTGTAGATTTATTTATGGATAAAATCAAGTAAATTTAAATTTGACAAAAAAGAGATAAACCGTGAAAAGTTTGGACAAAGCAGGGAATTTTGTTAAACAAAAATAGACACCGTGTTAACTTTTGTCTTTACATTGCTCAAAACATCTCTTAAAGTTAAATCTAGAGTTAAAATGAAAAAACGTTTTAACATGTAAGTTTTTGCCTAGTGGCATAATATGCTTGTATTGTATCACAGGTGACTTACAATTCTTGACATCCTGCGAAATCATTTTAATCATAAAAAATTTCCATTTTCAATATTTCTGAACTTCTTGAAAATATTAGATTGATTTGATAAATAATTTTGAATTGCACTATTTTGACATCAAAATATTAATCAGAGACTCCAAAAATACTACTGAATTATACTTCATATAGTAATTAGTATCGATTTTTTGATATATTGAAAATTTTTTTATATTTCTTGTAGGATAGTATTTTTTGCAAAATTATGATAAAATCTGACTAAATAACATATAATATTCATTTTTAGAAAGTTTAAAAGCTATCCATTAAAAATTGTGAAATTTTCCATTTTTCAAGTTTTTGAAAATATTTTTATATTTACATCTTAGTTGTAGAATAGTATTTTTTGAAAAATTATGCTAAAATGTGACCAAATAACATGTAATACTCAAATATAGAAAGTTTAAAAGCAATCCATAAAAAAATGTAAAATTTTGAAATTTTCGATTTTTTGAATTTTTTGAAAAAATTGAATATCTCCCGTTCTAATTAATATTTTTTAAATCTGTAAATTTATAAACCTTCCTTGGGTCAATACCTAATAACCTACCAAGTTGGACTTAAATCGATTCACATGTTTTTGTGTGATTGGGGTACAAAGTTTTTGTGACAGACAAACATACATACATACATACATACATACATACATACATACATACATACATTAAATTTTTTAAGAACATTTTTGGAATCTCTGATGTCCATAATAACTAATCATGTTAACATTTTGAAGTTTTAAGCAATGTACAGACAGACATCTGATTTTATTAATAAGGATTATAAAAGTTTAATTATGAATAAATATAATAATTAACAAAAATAAAATAATTTACAGCAGTCCTGCGAAAAGAAAAGTTTACTGTGCTTTAATTGTTAAAAAAAATTAATATTTTAATTAATTACTTACAGTTGTAGTGATGGAAAAGCCAGATTCTACTCTATTAGGGGCACTAAACGAAATTCTTCCGAGGAGCGAAAAAGATGCAGGAACTAATCAATTGAAACTTGAGGCAAAGACAATTGAAGTTGATAGGGAGAATGTAGACGCCAGTTATCAACAAGGTTAGTGTGCATGAATATTATAGTCTAGAAATAAATGATAATATTAAAAAAATGATAGGTTCGATTATAGGTAGAATAAATAATTATTGCGAATATTCTGTGTAATTTTGCTAGTTCTATTTTCGGATTTAGATTTGTAGATGATTTACAGGAACATACTTACATTTCTGTAAATAATTTATTTGAATTTATTTCTTGAATAAATAATATTAAATATTCAATAATAAATAATAAAATAGTCAAATAGTATTATTTGATTGGCACTGTGCTAACTTTGTAGTTAGTCTGCACAACTTCGTCCCCGCGCGTGCACTGAGCGGACCCACTGTACGGGTGGGAGTAGGCTCCCCTCTCGCGTCCGCGTCAGCCAATCACTCACGCCCTGCGCCGGGTATATAAGTAGGCGTTCGCAGGAGCGGACTTCATTCTGCACTCCGCTACGATGCGGTGATAAAACGTTTAGTCCCGCGCAAAAGTACTTGAGTTTTTCAATTACTATTTTCTAAATTTTAATAGTCGCTTGATTCCAGATATACTTTACTAGATCGAGGCACTTAAGTTTAAAAATAATTCTGCCTCTTTTTAGTAATTTTAATTTAATTATTTAGTATGTCAATACTTGTCCGGTGGAATAACATTGATAATTGACTTTACTTGGACGGGTTGGGATAAATTAAAAAAAATTGCCTCGTCCCAAGGTATTGTCTACGTACGAGGTGACGTAAGCATAAGTCCCTTTGTACAAGCAATGGATGATTTACTTTATATGAAAAACACCACCGATTCAGCATTAATATTCGAAAATGAAAAAGGTAATAATATTTTTCTCAGAACTTATTTAAAATAAAATAAATAGTAAAGTGCCTTATTTTTTATAATTGGTTATAAATTGATAATGCTTTAATTCAGTGTTGACACAAATAATTAATTTTATTTTTCCCTGATTGCCAGACGAAATTTTCACTTCTTCCCTGACCTGTGGCAACCCTGTAATTTTATATTTAATAAAAAATATAAAATAATATTTTTAGAAAAATTAAATAGTTAAAAAGTTAAGTATATAATATAACATACATTTTTTTATAAATTTAGAACTAAACGAGACTCTTTACTATTTGATTGGAAATTCAATCATCAGATTAGTTGTCATTGATGACTTTTCGCAAAAGCAAGTTGAAAAAATTGTTAATATGAGGCCTTTGCCTTCTTACTATGTAATTTATGCGAGTACGGAAAATATGGGAACTTTATTTAAAACGGTTTGTAATTTTTATTTTCTATTTTCTCTAGCATAGAAAATGTTTATTCTTTGATTTAAAATTTTCATTTGATTCAGACATGTCTTTTTAAATTAATTTTTTTTTATAATTTTTAAAATAAAAGTAAACTATTATTTTTTATCCAGTACTTTTTTTATTTTTTAATTAAATGATTTTTTCAAAAAAAAGGCACTGGATGGGAAATTGGTGACGAGAAATGGAACTTGGAATCTCGTGTTCACTGATTTTCGATATAGAAATTTTAAATATTACAAACCGCAAAATGAAATGGAGAGAATTAATTTTACAATCACGACATTAAATATGAAAGACGAAGTTTGCTGTCGTCTATTGTCGCAGACAGATTCAAATTCAACCTCATCCATCTGTGACTGTTCCAAGGATAAGAAAGTAAATTAATAAATTTTAAATTCTCAGTTAAAATATAAATTCGATTTATATAAAATTATCCAATAGATAAAATATCTACTTATTTATGCATATAAATAAAATTTCTAAAGTTATTTGTCAAAAAACTTAAACTATCAACTCGATTACATTTTAGATATCATCAATGTATTTTCAACGCCTCATTGAATTTATAATTAAAATTTTGAAAAATATCGACACTGGTTCACCAATAAAGGGAGATTGTAAAAATCCCACCGCACAATCATCTAAGAATATTACATCAATATTTTTTGATCAAGTAAATGTGGTAAGAAAATAACTGCAATAAATAATTTTAAAAAAACCCCTTTTTCAATTTTTTGAAAAGTTTGAATTTTTTCTTTCAAAATTGTTTTCATTTGTACCGAAAAAATTGCGTGTTTGTCTAAAGACAAAATTTTTTAATTTGAAAAGTCGGCAATGAATAATTAATTATAATTTTCATTCGCTAATTTCAGGAATTGAAACAATCGGATAAATTTTATTTTGATAGTGAAAAATTGTTAATAGCTTATAATGCAGAAATTGAGATAAATATTTTACAACGAGGTGGCGTGACAAATATTGCAACTTGGACAAAAAGTGGTAATGTTAAGGCACTTCCTGATCAAGAAATAGTTGCTGCTAAACGTTATTTTCGTATTGGAACGGCACCGGTATGTTATAGAGATTTCATTATTATTTCTATTATTTTTTTTATTTTTTATTATTATTATTTTTTTATTTTTTTATAGACAGAAATGGAAAATTTTTGACAAAGTGAAAAAGTCTTTCTCTATTTTGTTATTTATTTATTTATTATTCACTAACTCACGTTTAATGTCTCCTCCCATCAATGCCTACTGACACTCATTTTTCTGAGTGGAGGGGGGAACGGTAAGAGCGCGCACCAATCAGATAGCTTCTCCCATACTACAACTCCAGGCTTCGTACTCGATAATTAATTTTATATTTTAAATAATTGAATTCTTGTGAAAATTTTTTTTAACAAAATAAATTGAATTAATTAATTAATTTTGCTAAAAGGAAAAATAGGGGAAAAATAAATCTTTTGAAATTTAAATTCTCAAGGCCATTCCATGGACAGTAGGGGAAACGGATGCAAATGGTAAAACTGTTTGGTCTGGATATTGCATCGATTTGATAGAGAAATTGGCAGAAGAAATGGATTTTGAATATGATCTCGTTGTTCCTGACGATAGAGAATTTGGAGCGAAAACCGCCAATGGCGATTGGACTGGCTTAGTTGGTGATTTATCAAAGGGGGTAGGAGATTATTAATAATTTTTCATATGAGAATTAATATTTATAAAAATTAAATTTTTTTTTAAATTAGTTATATAATATTTTAAACTCGTATTTTAATTTATATTATAATTAGACTAAATTATATTAAATTAATTTGCAATATAATTAAATTAAAATTAATAAATTATAATAGAAATTGAAAAAATTATTAATTGTAGTTTAAAATTGAAATTTTTTTTATAAAGTTTTAATTTTAAACGAACGCCTGAAATGTAGCAAAAAGATTTACTTAACTGTGGAGAAAGTATACCTACAAACGGTGCTGCTCGCACTTGTAATTCATATAAAATGTAATGTTCTTTTTTAATATGAATATATATTTTTTTCTTTATTCATCAGGAAACCGATATTGCCGTCGCGGCATTGACAATGACATCTGAAAGGGAGGAAGTCATCGATTTTGTTGCTCCCTATTTCGAACAATCGGGAATTTTAATTGGTATCAAATAATTTAATTAGAAACAGTTTTTGAATTGAAGATTTCATATTTAAAAATAAAAAAGTAGTTGGATAACTATAATTTTAATAATTACTAATCATTTTATAATAATTTACGTACATGTATAATTAAAAAAAAGAAATTTTTTTTTAATTAATTTTTAATTAAAATTGTTAATGAAAAAAACTTTTTTTTCCAGTTATGCGAAAGCCAGAAAGAGAGACGTCACTTTTTAAATTCATGACCGTCTTAAGGGTGGAAGTTTGGTTGAGCATTGTTGGCGCTTTGACACTAACAGCCGTGATGATATGGTTTTTAGATAAATATTCGCCTTACAGTGCAAGAAATAATAAAAAACTCTATCCATATCCCTGCAGGTTGGTTGTTTTTATAATAAAGAATATTTTTAGCATCCGTTTTACCATATTTATGTGTATAAACTAATTTTTTAAATTTTTTTAAATTTTTTTTTTTTTTTTTTTTTTTTTATAAAAACTAATTTTTATATCTATCAGTTTTTGAACTTAAAAATTGTAACAAAGTACGTGTTATAAATTCTTTTTTCATTTCTTGCAGGCAATTTACACTAAAGGAAAGTTTTTGGTTTGCTCTAACATCATTTACACCGCAAGGTGGAGGAGAGGCACCAAAAGCTCTTTCAAGTCGTACACTTGTTGCGGCCTATTGGCTATTTGTCGTTTTAATGTTAGCCACATTCACTGCCAATTTAGCCGCATTTCTCACCGTCGAACGAATGCAGGTTTGTTAATTTAAAAAAAAAAAAAAAAAAAAAAAAAAAAAAAAAATACCGAATCCTACAGAAGAAAATTTTAAATTGTTATTAAACTGAATTTTTTTCCAGTCACCCGTACAATCGCTGGAACAATTGGCTCGACAATCGCGAATAAATTACTCGGTTCTGACGAATTCGACAATTTATCAATACTTCAAAAATATGAAGAATGCAGAAGAGAAACTTTATAAGTAAATCATTGTCACTTAAGACCTAAATTCTTTCTATTAAGAAAAATTTAAAAAAAAAAAAAATATTTTTAGAGTTTGGAAGGAAATGACATTGAATAGTACAACAGATCAAGTGGAGTACAGGGTATGGGACTATCCAATTAAAGAACAATATGGTCATATTCTTCAGTCGATAAATCAGGCGGGATTATTAAATTCAACTGAAGAAGGTTTTAAGAAGGTAACAAATAACAAATTTCTAAATTTTTATTTTAAAAAATTTTTTTTTTATCTAAATTTTTGTAACAAATTTCTTAAAAGAATTTGTATTTGTTTATTTATAATAATCAAAGTTCCTAGGGCTACAAGTTCTATGTGGTGGAATTCTTACAGGGTTGTCACAGGTCAGGGAAAAGTCAGGAAAAGTAAAATTGGTCAGGGAAATCAGGGAAAAATCGGAGATTTTTAGTAAAAGTACTGGAAAAATATAATTTTTAAAATTCATGAGAAAACTCTGAATTTTTGTGTTTTTTTTTGTTTGCCTCGTAAACTATGAAATTATCACGAATTTTAATGCAAAACCTTCAATTTTTTCTATAACTTACAATAATTTCTTTTGAAATAACTTAATTTTTAAAGAACTTTCATAAAATTATGATTTAAAAATTATTTAATGAATAATTTTTTACAATTTTCATAAATACTAGATTATTAGAAGAATTTTATAGTTAAAAATACTAAAAAAAAAAAAATTCAAATTTGAAAAAGTTACAAATGATTCCAAAAATTCAATTATTTTCAAAAGCTACAAAAATTCTTCGAAGAATTTCAATTATATGTTCAAAATTTTTTTAAAAATTCTCATCAAAATTTAAATTATCTTTAAAAATAACGAAATTCTTAACAAAATTTAATTATTTAAAATACAAAATTTCATAATATTTTTCGAAAAATATCAATTATTTTTAAAAAATGTTATACAATTCGTCGTAAAAATTCAATTATTTAAAAAAAAATTTTTAAATTCTTTTCAAAAATTCAATTATTTTTATAAATAATAAAATTCTTCTTCGAAATTCAATTATTTTTATAAATATTAAAATTCTTTTTCGAAATTCAATTACTTTTAAAAATTTTAATAACATTCTTGTCAAAATTTCACAGGAATTCCATTCTTTACAAAATTTTAATAAATTTCTTCGAAATAATTTAATTATTTTCATAAGTAATCAAATTTTCACAGGAATTCAATTATTTCAAAAATTAAAATAATTTTCACAAGAATTCAATTATTTAAAACAGAATTTTCGTAATATTTCATTAAAAAAAAAAAAAAAAAAAAAAAAAAAAAAAAATCAATTTTATTTTATTTTATTTTTTTTTAAATTTCAATTCGAGAATAAAAAATTTAAAAAAAAAATAATTTACAAATATTTTTTTTTTAATATATAAATAGAAAGAAACAAATATTTTTTTTCATTATTTTTTTTTTTTTGTGTCTAAACGATACTTACTCTCGAAAAAAACCAATTATTTAAGTAGATTTTTATAATTCAATTCTTCAATAATTCTTCTTCGAAATTCAATTATTTTCAAAAATTTTAATAAAATTCTTGGCAAAATTTCACAGGAATTCAATTATTTAAAAAATTTTAAATAAATTTCTTCAAAATAATTCAATTATTTTCATAAGTAATAAAATTTACACAGGAATTCAATTATTTACAAAATTTTTAATAAATTTCATCGAAATAATTCAATTATTTTCATAAGTAATAAAATTTTCACAGGAATTCAATTATTTAAAATACAAAATTCCAAAAAAATTTTCAAAAAATATCAATTATTGAAGAAAAATTTTTATAAAATTCGTCGCAAGAATTCAATTATTTAAAAAAATTTAACAAAATTCTTTTCAAAAATTCATTTATTTTTATAAATAATAAAATTCTTCACCGAAATTTAATTATTTTTATAAACTTAAATAAAATTCGTTGCAAGAATTCAATTATTTTTAAAAGTAATAAAATTCTTCGCATAAATTCAATTATGTTCAAAAATTAAAATAAATTCTTGTCAAAATTTTAAGGTTCTTTATAAATTATAAAATTTTTGGGAAAATTTTAATTATTTTCATTAGTGATAAAACTCATCGCTGGGATTTCAATTATTTTTTGACACAATTTAAATCAAATTCCTCGAGAAATGTAATTATTTTTAAAAAATTTTTTTAAATTTGGCAAAAGAATTTAATTATTTAAAAATTTGTTGATAACATTCTTTATGAGAATTCAATTTTAACAAACATTCAATTATTCAATAAATTATTAATTTTTTAATTTAAATAATTGAATTCTTCTAAAATTTTCTAATAAAAATTAATTTAAAAATGAATTACCGAACAATCGATTTATTATTTATGAAAATAATTGAATTGTTGCAACGAATTTTATTACATTTTTTTAAACAATTGTATTTTTTTTGAGAAATTTTACTACTTTAAAAAATAATTGAATTCAAGTTTTCTAATAATATTCTGATAAGTTGTTGAATTTCAAAGAGGTTTGAATTTGTATGTTTTGAAGAATTTTAATTCCTGCAGAAAAATAATAATGATTAAATATTTATTTAAAAAAGAAGTTATTGATGTTTTTGAATAATTTTACAATTAAAGAAATTTTTAAATAAATGTAATTTTCAAGTAATTAAAATTCTAATAATTTTTCTTCTTATGACAGGTTTTAGAGAGTAAAGACTCGTTATTTGCCTTTATTCACGACTCTCAGGAAATAAAGTACAGAGTCACTTTAAATTGTTCTTTGACTGAAGTTGGCGAAGTTTTTGCCGAACAACCTTATGCAATCGCTGTACAACAAGGCAGTCACTTACAAGAGGAAATAAGCAGAAAGTTAGTCTATAATTTCTTCGATAAATAAAAAATGTATTTTAAAAATTTTTTTTTTTTTTTTTTATTAGTTTCCACCTTTTTTAAAAATAATTTTTAATTAGTAAGTTTAATAATTATTTTTAATAACTTTAATCGAATAGAATTTATTTCTTGATACTACAAATAATGTTTTACATCTCTTACAGCCTTAATAACTTTAATAATTATTTATAATAATTTTAATAATTATTTATAATAATTTGAATAATTAATTTAAATAATAATTTTCTAAAAATATTCGATTTGAATGATTTCACAGAATATTGGACTTACAAAAGGATCGCTTCTTCGAGAGTCTTAATTTTAAATATTGGAATGCAACTCTTAAAAGACAATGTCCTGATGCTGATGATAATGAAGGAATTACTTTGGAAAGCTTAGGTATAAAGTGAAATTATTTTCTATTCAAGAAAATGTATTATTATAATAAATATTAATATACTTTAAATAAAAAAGTATATTTTTTTCAAAAATTTAAATTTTTAAATTATTTAAATCCAAAATAGGTGGAGTTTTTATAGCAACATTAATTGGATTGGCATTGGCAATGCTCACATTGGCGGTGGAAGTTTTGTATAATAAAAAGAAGAATAAAACGCAGGATTTAATGAAAAAGGAAAGTAAAGAATATCAATTGACAGAGAAGGCAATGAGGAATTTTTTGAAAAAATTACCATTTAAAGCTGCACCAACTGTTGCGTTTATTGAAAAACCACCGCCACCAAAACCACGAATCTCACATATTTCTGTTTATCCACGACCAATACCTTTTAAAGAATAATAATAATAATTAATTTTTCATATATTATATATAAATAATAAGCAATCACGACATATTTTCTACTCTATTTTCTAAAAAAAAAAATATTCCTTTTCATTGAAAATAAATCAAATAATATAATGAAATTAGCGCAAAAATAGTTCGAATTTTTGGCATAAAATTTCTACATAGTAGATTTTATAGAATATTATATTACCTAATACAGAATTTAAGAATTAATATTTTTTAATTTATTGATTACTGTTTAGTAGGAACAATTTAATTTTTCCTCTTTACTTTTATGGATTTAAAATTTTTAATAATATTACTGTTGTTATTATGCAATATTTTATTTGACTTAGTATTAATACTTATAATTCTTGTATTCCTATAAATTTTATTTATCAAATATTTTTACTTTGTGAATATTTAAAATACATGATGTAAATAGAAATATTGACATAAGGTTGAAATAAACTGTTATTTAAAATATTTTATTTTATTTGTTTTGAAAAAAAATCTTTTTTGTTTCTTTTTCGTCCTCAATTTTCTACTGTTGTTGTTTGATGCATGAGCAATACATAAATTATAAGTTTTTTGAAACATAGAAAATTTGCTATATGATTATTTTTCTTTTTTCCGGATAGAAATAGTCAAAATTCTTTAAGAAAACATAAAACAACGTGTAATTAATAAGTGAAATTATACTCGAAAATTATGAAGAAATATTACTCTTTTTGATAACTGGTGCCTCTACCCTACATTTAATGTCCTCATTAAAGTACATGACATCAATTATTGATGCCTCGTATAATTATCAATCGAGTGTAATGAATTAAAACCTTTCTTCAGTGGATGCCACTGAAGAATGGTTTTAATTTATAACACTCGAATGATAATTAAAATAAGTGAAAAAAAAAATTTTTATTGTTTTTTTCTTCACTTCTGGGGTATAAAAGTTTTCAACTGCAAACAAAATTATACAATAATTGTGTCAAAGAGTATATAGAAGCGTACACAATTCAACAAAATTTTGAAAATTGAAACATCAATTTTCTAACATAACTACAAATCTAACATAACAACAAATATAAAACAACGACAAATATAAAATATGAACAGTGTTAAAATTTTCTTGCTGTTATTTGTTGTAACAATTTTATTATTTTCTCAAGAGAGTCATGCTTTATGTTGCCCCGGTGGTGTAAGCTTTGTATGCTATGATAGTAAAATAACTAAAGGAAAGAGGCTTTGTGGCGTAGGATCTTGTGATGTATTTGGATGTAACTGTGACGGTGCATGTACACGTAAAATGGCTATGAATAATAAAAAGAGTTATTATTAATAATAATAATATTGTTATTATTACACAAATTTTATTTGGAAATAAAGAGAATTCATAAGAAAATGAAGTTTTCATGAGTATTTTATTGCTTCCTCGCGGAGAGAAAATTACGTTTAAACAAATTTTTCCTCTGTATTGAAATATCCTTCTATTTACAATATAATCTAAAATAATAATATTAAAATAACAAAAAATAAATAATAAAAAAAATAATAAATAATAATAAAAATAATAATAAAATAATAAAATAAATAATAATAAAATGAAAAAATAAATATTTTTACAAGACTCAAAATTTTCGATAACAGGTGCCTGGTACTTATAGCGAAGAGTTTGTAGAACATAATAATTAAACATATTTGCACTATAATAATATTTTCCCCTCGATGTGATACTCTTCTTGAATTTTAAGCGAATGTTTATAATTTGATTATTTAATTTTTATTTGAATAAATCCGTCAATAATATGTCTGTATCAATTATATCTTTTTAAATAAATATAAATACAGATTATTTGAATTTGTCTTTGATTAGAGCACATTTTATATGCTAATAAATAATGAAAATTAAATAATATGACAGATGGTGATGATAATTTTATAATTTAATAAGAAGTTATTTTTACAGTTAGTTAGCATGTGTTACATAAACAAAGTGATATAAACTTCTAACAAATTAAAAAATTTTTTTTCAACTTTCTAAATTTTGCATATTAAAAATAAAAATTTATAAATATTAAACATTAAATTAAATATTATTGTTGATCTATAATAATTTTTGTTTTTATCGATCAGTAGAACGATACTGCATATTAAAAATAAATAAAATAATATTAATATTCTTAATTAAAAAAAAATATTGATCAATGGATCGAAATTAGATTTCGTGACTAAAATTCAAGTTTGAAATAAATTACAAAGTCTATCAAATAAGGAAAAAAAAATTGTGTTATATAACGGAATATATACGTCATACGCACTACGGTAAAATATGCAATTCTTTAAAAAAATTTCTCGCTTTCAAAATTATTTTATCATACCAGATTAAATGAAAATAGAAAAGTAATTTCACATTGTAAAAATAATATGTTTCTCATTTATTTTTAGATATATTCATTATGAAAAAAAGAATATATTTATTTTCCAGATTATTATAAATATAATTTATATGTATTTTTATAATATTTTTATTGTTTATTATAAGTTCTAAATAAGTAATTTTTAATTTTTTTTTATTATATACATAATTTTTATTTCTTTAAAAAATAGTTTTATAAATTTTTAAAATTAAAAAAATTAAAAAAAAAATTTTTTAAATATTTTTTTAAATAAATTTTTCTAAAATTCAAGCATTAAAAATTAATGAGATTGATTCCGTATAATTATGTAATTTTTGCGTTTTTCACGATTTATTTAACAGTCGAGAGTTTATTACTAAAAAAAAGTGAAGTGTGAAAATAATTTTATTGTTAGTTCCAGTGTTACGCCTTTTTGATACGATATTCAGTGACGTGAGGGGCCATTGATCTCACTGGCTTTCACTGTTATTGTCTCCCTGTTTTTTTATTCTTTTTTTTTACTAAAATAATAGAAAATTCAGATAAATATATTTATTATTTAATTATTTTATCCTAATTTTGTAACTAATACCTACTCAAAAATAATTCCATTCATTTTGAGAAATATTGAAAAAAAATTTCAAATTAAACGAAATATTATAATTTAAAAAATTAGTCTTACAAAATTAATAGATAAAAGTAATTTCTTTAAAAAACAGCTTGAAATTAAATTATTTTTATAAAAGCAACTTTGGAAATGAAACATTTCTTTCTGAAATATCTCTTTCCAAATTGACAAAACACACAATTAGTATAAATTCTATTTTCAATATTCACATGCCTCTCTAAATTATATAAAAATAGAAAAAAAAATTTGATAAAACTAATTGTTTCGGTAATCGAGAGACTTGATTGCAAATATTGTCGACTTCACGGCTGAAAAATTTGTCACTTTTCTCAAACTTTTACATTGTTTTATATTGAAGGTGGGATATTTAAAAGAGTTGTTCCACTCTTATGAACAAGCAAGTCAATATAAAAGCAAATCCTTTTGCCGCGCGATCATTTTATGAGAAAGTGATGTGATTCATTTTACTTTAACGTGAGATTAATTAATTTTTATTAAATCATCTGCCAATGTTTGGTTACCATTTATTATGGATTTCTGCAAGGTTTGTTATTTTTCAATATTTCTTTTTCATTTATTTTTTATTTTTATTTATTAATTCTTTAATTAATTAATTAATTTAACAAAATTTATTACGTTTAAAATTTTTCTTAATTTAATATTTTATTTTTCTATTTTATTACTTGACTTAAAATTTGTTTTAAATGTAATTTTTTTAATTTTGCGATTTTTCGGTTAGAAAAATTGTACTACACATGTTTCTGTTCCATATAACACTATTGCGCATGTTATAATTGTGAAAAACTCTAGTGCGCATGTTTTAATTGCGAGAAACTCTACTGCGCATGTTTTAATTCCAATTAACAGTACTGCGCATGTCAGAATTGCAAGAAACACTTTTGCGCATGTTTAAAGTCCATAGAATACAACTGCGCATGTCATATTTCATAAAAACTCTATTGCGCATGTCTGAACTTTAAGAAACACTACTGCGCACGCGTCAAATCGCTTTCTTCAGCATTTTTAAACCCCTTTTGTAAAATTTGTTCTTCTTTCAGAAATGTTTGATAATAGTAGCGGGAATTTCGACTGTGATTGCCGATATTGATCATGAATTGAAAAGGATTATAAATCTCAACGATGCCAAATATCCTCCACTAAAACCTTGGTTTTTGGATGATACACCGTCATATTTATCTCAACCATCAGAGACAATTGCACACTACACTTACGCCTATCCCTATGATAATCTAGAAGACGGTTCCAGTTACGTTCCAACATACAACCACTATTCACCATCATCATCATCATCAGATGATTCCTTTTACTCCAGTACAAAAAGAATTCCCAATGAGGATAAAAATTACAAAAAAGCCTACACAATTACGAACAAGGAATCATTACCCAAATCTGAACCCAATTGTCAGGAAATAAAATTTAATGAAACAAAAGTCGAGGGTAAATTAAAACCAACAGCAATGACTTGCTATAATTGTAAAGATCTTGAGAGAGGATCAACGTATGAGTACTGTTCCTATTCTTCTGATAAGACACCGGATAGTTCGAAATCACTGCCACCGAGATTTAGAAGATCGGATAATTATGGAGCAACAAGTGTATCGACAGCTTATGTTCCTTCATTGCAAAAGGAGGATAAATCAAGAGCACCGTACAAATTCAGTCAGGATTACTTTTTGCCTGATGCATCGAGAAAATTTGCGATTGAGCATAAAACAAATGAATTGTGTCAAAAGATGTACAAAGATTCGATGGTGTGCACTGTTTGCAAGAATCCAACAACAGGTCTTAAGTCTGAACAATGTGCTCATATTGGTGCTCCGAATGATAAAGCTTATTCCTTCTCAACTTCCCATTCTGTTGGTAAACCTAGAAAGAGCCAAAAGTTTACTGACAAGAAACCAGCGCCAATTCACGAATCCAGCGAGCGAGAGGTCGAAAGTTTGGAGGAGAATCCCAATGAGGATGTTAAGGATGCCGCTGAATCTTCGGATTGTAGACAGGTAATTGATTCCTTTTAATGTTTTTTGCTATAGTACAGAGTAGTTGACGTAGAATTACTAATTAGATAGGTTTTTGATAATGTTAGGATCTTTATGGATAATTAATTTGTTGATATCCGTTGTACAAACGGATTTCTGTGGTTCTTTTAAGTAAATACTTTTCTATTTCCCTCTCCAACAGGTTCGAAAGGATTCGGAGATCTGTACAGTCTGTAAAGACCCAAAAACTGGTGGTAATTCCCAAAGGTGCACCTACAATTACGAACCGGACGAGAAGGTCTACAAATTCACCAGATCCAAGTCATTTGGCTATCCGGAATCATCGAAACAAGAGAAGAAGGAAAAAAACCACGACAAGAAGGAAAGACAACATGACAAGGAAGTATCCGAATCCGATCCCGAAGAATTCACCACCAATTTTGAAGATGAGCCCGAAGAAGAAGAAGACTACAGTGCATACGATAATCCCGAAGCTTATTCTGGTTACGAGAGTCTTGAATCATCATCATCACAAGAGGCCGAAGAGAATAGTAAAGAAAATAATCAAAATTACGATTACAATCCAGAACACGTCGAATACATTCGATCAGAATCGGAGAAAATTTTAAATAACGCCGAATCGGAGAACTGTCACAAAGTAAAGAAAGATTCAATGATCTGCTCAGTATGTAAGGATCCAAAAACAGGCGAAGATTCCGAATCCTGTTCCTATTCTTATGAACCAGACGACAAGAAGTTTGCCTACACAAAATCAAAATCTTTTGGAAGTCCCACTAAAGACGAACCTGAAGAATACAGCGGCGAGGGTAGTAGTTACACTTCCGATGAGTCATCCCCCGAAGGAAGTTACGCATACGCTTCAGAGCTAAAACCCACCGTTTCCTATCCTAGAAAAATTCCACTAACCGCCGAAACGAAAACACAACGAACGGTTTATCTTGGAGAGACTGAAAAGGTAAGACCTCCATATTTCTTCACCGGAAATTCTTCACTCTGCTAATTGATATTTTTCTCCATTTCAGCCCGAACTAGCAAAAGTGGATCTTGGACTACTAGGAGCATCGCAGAAGCAGGCGAAAATGGAACAATTGCTGAAGGACGATCGAACCGCGAACAAAACGAGATGCAAGAAAACAATGAAAAACGAAATGACCTGCTATCAGTGCGTAATGGAGAATGGACTTCGTCAGGAGGAGTGTATGTACATAAAAAATCCGGATGTTGATACTCCTGCAAAAGCGAAAGAAGTTCAACCTGCCGCAGCGTCTGATGATCTAAAAGCAAAGCAGAAGAGAAAAAGAAGAATAATTAAATCAGAGAGTAGTTCCACTACTTTGGAACCAGTGGCAGAAACAACTAGACGTTCCTATCGATTAAAAAGACAATCGAGAAGAAAATTGAATGACAATGGAGATGAGACGAATTATGATTCCAGTGAAAGTTTCAAGGGAAAAGACGATCGTCCCTATGAAACAGATCCTTATGAATATGTCGCCGAAACTAAATACAAATATCACAATACCCTTGGACTAAAATTACCATCCCATACATTAGAAGTTTCTGATTATGAAAAGGAATTTGATGACATTTTCTACGGGAATCGAAATAATTAAACGAAATTAACTTCCTCCGATATTCTTTGAAAAAAATCATCGAGTTTCCTATCTGGTATTACTTTATTCCTAAGTTGGTAAACTAAATATCTACTTACCGACCGCTTGATCGGTAAAGTAGTTTTACCCGCCAAATTCAAAAATATTTATTATAAACATACAAATTACTGTCAAATTTTATGCCAACCCTGCGCCTAGAATTTTATTTCTTGCAACATTTTTACTAATTACGAGAAATTTTTCTTAAATAACGACAAAATTTTACAAAAAAAGCGCGTAATATCTGCTCTGTATTACCGACCCAAGGCTAATAAAAGTAAAAGACAGGAAACTCACTTGCAAAAAAAAAGTTGCATCGAAATTTTGTTAGAGAGCGAAATGTTTCGTTAATTATTTTGACAAAATTCTCATTCCTCAACTATTCTAATATTATACATTGAAAAAATATATAAAATATTGAATATTGAGAAAAAAGGAAACATTTTAATTAAAAATAGTAAACGAAGATTGCAAATTAAGGGAATTATAAATTTTTTAAGGAGGAAATTTTAAAAGTTTATTTCATTTTTCGACTGATTTTGTTCTTTTCGACAATGGAAAGAAATTCCCTTTTACTTGTTATTTAGTGTGTAATAAAAAATTATATTTATTGTTTAAATAAATAAAATTTCCAAGAAGAATAGAATATTTTTTTTAACTACAACTTTTAACGATTTTTTTTAAATTCACTTACACTTGAGAAAAAATGTGAGACGATAAAAATTTACCAAATAATTATTAATTGTAAAAAATCAGCTCAGTAATAATTTTATGAAAAAAATAAAATAAGAGTAATTTACGCAAACTTTAATGGTTACATAGTTAAAAAAAATTATATAAACAAAGTTTGTATATATAAATAAATTTATAGGTGCTGATAAAAAAGGTAAACAAAATAAAACACAGAAACACGATTGAAAATTGATAAAATCGAGAAATAAAGTGATAAATAAATAAACAAAATGCAAATTAATTGTAATTGTAAAAAGTTTGAAGGCAAAAATTAAAGTTCTGTATTGTTTTTACATAAATTTTTCCACACAATTCGATATAAAAGAAGGAAAGTTGTATAATTTTCAAGTAAGTGTTAATCATAGGATAATAATTACAAATGAAAATTGAGGATAAATAAAAATTCAAAGACATAAAAGTCCAGCGTAAAATAGTTATTCTTTATTTTTCAGCTATTGATAACGTTTAATGAACCAATAAAATAATGCAACTTTTTTAAGAAAAAAAATTTAACATTTCTCAATTAGTACTCGTCGGCATCGTACCGTATTTATATTTCTCTATTTCAAAATATTTTTTATAAAACTTTAATTGAAAGGACTGAAATTAATTTTTATGTAATTTTAAATTAATAAATAGTGTTTCTTTTTTTTTCAAATAATACAAAGTTCATAAATTAAAAGAAAAATGATAAGAACACTTAAAATTGTAATTTTGATTTATCCGCATTTTACAAATGGTAAGTACATATATTTTTAGAAATTCGAATAATAGCAAAAATTATTTAAATTTATTCAAATTTGGAAATTATAAACTTTTGCAGTTCATAATTTTTATTTAAAAGCAAAAAAAAATTTTACATTATTTACATAATTTATTATTAACTTCAACTAAGTTGAGAATTCTGTGCGCGCATCTCGTGCCTAGTGGGGGGAGAACCAATCCGAGTCGTTCCCCCACTCTTCCACTACTGCGCGCGCATCACGTGTCTGGTGGGGGGGACCAATCCGAGTCGTTCCCCCACTCTTCCACTACTGCGCGCGCATCACGTGTCTGGTGGGGGGGACCAATCCGAGACGTTTCCCCACTCTTCCACTACTACACGCTCATTGTTCTCAATTTAAAATAAAAAATTTCAATACCTTTCTAAAAAATGTTCAAATTTTTAATTTTCAGCTATATTTCCTTCACTAACGGGACGAAGTATTTTTTCCGAAATAATGGATATTAAAAATAATATAACCAGCTGCATTGAAAATACCATTCCTTCAAGGTCAGAATTGTTGGAAAATGACGAAAGCAATGACCACTTGTTACCTAAAGAATTAATGGGAAACAGGAAAGATGTGAGAGCAATTGTTAAATTTCTCCTCTACACTCCGGAATTAAATGGAACGTATGAATTATTAAAATTTAATGACACTGTCACATTGGAAAGGAGTCATTTCAATAAAAAACGTCCTACACGATTTATAACACATGGCTTCTTATCATCTGGCTATGATCCATCTTGCCAATTAATTCGAGAAGGTTTCAGAGTTAAAAAAGTTATTCCTCTTATTATCAAATTAATATTTCTTTACGAACCTAGTTTAAAATTATTTTTGAGTTATTTAATTTATTTAAAATTAATTTTTGAGTTATTTAATTTATTTCAAATTAATTTTTGAGTTATTTAAAATTAATTCTTACTTTACAAAATTATTTTTTTCTGTACAGCTTATTTAAATTTTACAAATTGTAATATAATCGTTGTCGATTGGAGTGAATTGGCTTGGGAGTTATATCCGATTGCTGCATTCTATGTAAAATTAGTTGGCGAACATGTTGGATCAATGATAACATTTTTGGAGAAAATGGGAATGAATGCAAGTACAACGACACTTGTTGGACATTCATTAGGCGCACATGTTATGGGAATCGCAAGCACTGCTGCCTTTGAAAAAGTCAAATATATCTATGGTTTGTAAATTGAAAAGTAGAAAAATATTTTATACATTGGGGGGAAGCTGTTCTGATTAGATCCCCTCTCTACGTTCGTTATGCGCGCGCAGGGTGCTCGAGCATTCTGCGCGCGCATAGCGAAGGTAGAGAGGGGGTCCAATCAGAACAGCTTCCCCCACTCTTCCGCATCTGCGCGCGCAACTTATACAAATTCAATAGGCCACTAAAAAAGAAAGAAGAAGTCAATTCTAAATATATTCTAAAAGAAAAATTTAATAAACAGGTTTGGACCCCGCAATGCCATGTTTTATAAATGCAGAAATTGGTGGTCGTATTTCACCGGATGATGCCGAATATGTCGAGGTAATTCACACGAGTATATTCGGTGATAATCAGACAATAGGTGACTATGATTTTTATCCAAACGGAGGTGTGAATCAACCGAAATGCTCTTGTAATCTCATCACAGAAAGTGTTTGTTCACATTCATCAGCATTTGAATATTTCGCCGAATCATTAAATAAAACGAAACCATTATTTTATTCTGTCTTGTGTAATAATTTAAAAGAATTTAAAGCAAATAAGTGTGCAAATTATCAGGCAATAATGGGTGGTATTGATCGGATACCAAAACGTAAGGGACATTATTATCTTTACACAAGAGCAGAATCACCTTATGCATTCGGAAAATCAGCTAGAGATGTAAGATGTTCCTCTTCAAAATTAGCCATGTGCTTCTACAGTATTATTAATCGTATATTTAATATTCAATTATGTTAAAAAATTTCAAGAAAATTTCTGTAATATAAACAAAATTTTTTCGATAACCGTAAATGCAAACATAAATTTATTTGAGTTCTGTGAAATATGATAAAAGTATTTCCAATTTATTTGCAAATTCATTGACGTCATCAGAAGAATTAATTAAAACTTATTTCTTCTAAATTACCATTAAATATTTAATAATGAATTGACGTCATAAAGAAATAATATAAATAATTATATTCTAAGAATTTTCCAAAATTCTACAATTTATAATAGAACAGAAAAGTTAAATAATAAAATTCAATTTAAAATGTGAATATTTCTGGGAAAATAATAAACCTTCTTGAAAAAATAGAAAAATTTATATAATACCATTATTTGTCAATGCTGTGAAATCTACATTTTTCATAATAATTTGATTTAATTTTTTTGTTTCGAATAGAAGAACAATGTTGAAAAAATGAATGAATTAACAACGCTATTACCTATATATAACTTGACGATTTTTCATTTAACAAACCGTAAAGTTTTCTTTATTATCTACAATTTTCTAAATGCTATAACATTAAGTCTGAAAAATTATATTACATTCAAATTGTCCTCTACTAACTATGGATTTTCCAGATGGTTTTTTGTTTCTGGTACTTTTAATTTTATCCATTTCGGCAACATTTTCAGATGAAAACAACAATCTACTGGTAAGTAAAATTTAATAATTATTGTCTTTGTTGAATAAATCAATGTCAAGAATTAACAAATCAACTATAAGAATCTTTTAAATTGTGAACAACATACTTTACTTATATCTGACCCTGTCTGAGAAAAGAGACCATATGTATTTTCTTCTTTTTTCAAAAACGAATAACAGAAGAATGTCTTTCTTTACCTATTTTGCATATCTACTCTTTTCACATAAATATTATTCATTTAATGTATAACATATTTTCTTTCTAGACGAAATGTGACGAAAATGGAGTACTACAGATAACGGGAAAAGTCATCAAAACCAGTAATATTAACATCAATGAATGCAAGAAGAAAATAAAGTTACTGAAAATATTTGCAGAGGAAATTGTCAAAATCGACGAAGATTTAAATTTCTCTGGCCAAGAAATTCAGGTTGTAATAATTGCTCCAATTTGGGAAATAATTGAAAATCGAAAAATTAATTTAGATGGTCAAAATGCCGACAATCATAAAGATGTAGTAGCGTATCATGCAAATAAAAGTGGAAATAGAAATGGAGTCGATGGATTGGCAGGTTTGCCAGGTGGACCAGCTGGAAATTTCTATGGTATCGCAAATGAAATTAAAAATGCCCACAAATTGTCCATTTCAGCAAATGGTGGACGTGGAGGAAACGGTCAAAATGGCGAAAATGGTAAAAATGGCAAAGACGGAAAATCCCCACCTAGAGATATATACGATTGCGATACGAATAAAGCACCTGGTTTTAAAGTCGAACAATGGAAGGGAGTAATTTACATTGTAGGTGATTATGGAGAATGTGGAGGAAGAGGTGGTCACGGTGGCGCTAAAGGACTTGGTGGACATTCGGGAATTATCGAAATAATTGAAATTTCTAAATATAATGATTCAAGTTCTGTGGTAAAATTAATGAACATTGGTTCTTCTGGTGACGATGGAATTGGCGGAATTGGAGGAACAGGTGGTAAACCAGGAGAAGAACATAAAGGCTATTGTGCAAATGTTTGGGGTTCGGTTAGTTTTAAATACTATAAGAGACTGAAATATAATGACCTATCTAGAGCAAAAGGTTTTAATGGAGATTCTGGAAAAAGTTTCAAACAACGTCAAATTCCAAAGCCCTCAGTAATTATTGAAAATTTTTCTCAAATCATAAATGAATACAAAAATTACATTAGACCTAAATTGGCTAATCCTAATAATAGGAATAGTAAAATGCATTCCTTATATGAATCATTAAATAGTCGACGTGAGATAACTAAACTCTATGATTCCGTAAATTTAGTTGACGAATTTACAGACCTGGAATTGGAATATTTCACATCAGAAGATCGTGACTATCTTCTACCGTCATACACTCAGTTGACAAGAAGATTCGATGAATACGTAATGTCAATTAATTCAGACCATTTTGATGAGAGAACTAAGAAGATTTACAAAGAAGTTGTAATGGAATTAAATTGGCTACTGAAAAGTAAGTATTTTTTAGGCTTTGAATTCAAGAACCGATCAAACGATCGGTGCCTGTGCCTCCATGTGGAGGCACATGCTAATCCGATCGTTTGATCGGTATTACTATTACTAGATAATTATAAATTCTAATTAATAATAATTTTTCAGAAAGACTAAATTCCTACAACACTCCTAAAGGACATTTTGTGATGACAAACATTACTCAAGGTTTAACCTCTAATGGAATAAAGCCAAAGAATACCTTAGTGGAACATGCTAATAATTACATTAGATTAGAAGCATTTAGTTACAGAATAAGTGAAATAGATTATCTTATTAGAGAAGCCAATGAATTTATCAATAATGACTTACAAAATGCTGTGCAAGACTTGCAGAATACATTAGATTCTAAAATAAACAATGTTCTCGAGGAGATTTCGACTTTAGTTAAAAAGTATCTTTACTTAGAAGACGATCTAGTCAATAAGCGACAGGAGTTAAAGAATGCAATGTATTTAAAAGGCGTCTTAAGTGTTCTAAAAGCAGGTTGTGGAATAGCAGCAGCAGTATATCCTCCATTAGGAGTAGCAGCAGCTGTCGGATCATCAGCATTGTCAGTTGCTGAATCGCTTATTCCAGACGTTGATGCATCGTCACAAATCAAAAAAGTTACTAAAGCAAAAAAGATGCTTTCAAAAGCGTCGAAAAAATTTTTACTCAATATCGATGTTAGTAATCAAGAAATATTTCTAAACAGCCGTATAACAGAAATGACAGTAAATATGTCAAGCAGTGGAAAAGATGCAGTTGAGCAACTAAAAAATAAAATAATAAAACAATTAAAAAAAGCCGACGATGATGAAGAGGAAAAAAGTAAAAAATCTTTCGAATGGGATAAAAGTTACATAGATGATGTTACAAAAGAATTGGAAGAGGCAGCGAAAGAAGGAAATAAAGCTAAAGAAACCGACTGTATGACTAAATTGAGTGTTATAAAATTGTTAAAAGTTAGTAACATTGTAATGTCAACTGCTTCATCGACATTAAAAAATAATTTGGCAGATAAGAAGAAACTTGATGAAATTGACGATGCTTTAGAGAGTAATAAGGAAAATCTAAAAAATTTATACGTAATCGAAGAAGGTATTTACACTCAAACTGAACCAATGTTAGAAAATATGTTTAGTGACATCCACCAAATGGGACGTAACATGAGTAGAATGAGTGTAAATCAAAAATTAATTGCCAATTGGAATGTTAGTAATACTTTAGAAGAAGTACAGCAAAAAATTAACAGTACTCTCAGTACCTTCGAAGCATCAGATGACATTAACTTTACTTTTAAAAAACTTTTTTCTACCTTCAAAGTAATTACACAACTGCACGACGTGATTACAAGAAAACTTGACGAAAAATCAGATGTGACTTTCTTGGTAACGTTACATATGCCACAACACACTAAATCTCTAGCTGTAAACAGTAAATTGGCATGGTCTTTAGCTAAATTTAATAAAATCTTCTATCAAAATAATTTACTAGACAAATACAATGAATGGATTTATGCCTTCAAGCAATTCTCTTTTCCTAATGGTGGACAATATTTGCTAGAAACAAATTATCCGAATCGAACCCAAGCCGAAAGTATTGATAACTTTGTAATTGGAATTCAACAGAATATCGATACTTTTAATGAATATTTTAATACAGAATATGGTATGGATCAGTTTTTAGTAGATCAGTTAGTTGAATCATATAGAGGAACTTGTAGTAATAATAAAAGAGCTTTCTTTGTTTGGGGAAAAAAGGATTATAATAATACAATCACTGATATCTTGAAAGGAAATAAAGTGAAAGTAATGTCAAAAAGGATTCATAGCGAAACGGATTCATTGAAATTTAATAACATTGGAATTATTTTTACGTCACAGGATGCTACAGTCCAAGAAAAATTGTTTAACGTTTTAAGTAATTTTAAAGTAAATTTAACACATAATGGGGACTCTGTCTATTCATTTTCCAACAAGAATTATGTCATACAAACGAATCCTGTGGATCTAATCTTTGACTATCCTGCAAGAGTAAATGAAATCGTAGGTTTATCGTCACCAATGCATAAAAAATTTGCCTCTGGTGACTGTATTTTAAGTCCCTTTGCTACATGGACTGTTCAACTTCTTCCGACAGGTAAAAATGATTTTGAATTATTAGAGAAGTTTATTGGAAAAGTAGATTTAGAATTAATTGGAGAGGGTCAACGTTTTAAATCAAATGGATGCGACGAAATGTGTCAAACTTTAGTTGATAATACATACAAACTTTCGGTTTAAAAAATTTCTTTTCATTACTATGTGAGTAGTTTTTAAATTTTCTACATATTAAACTGTCTCATATGTGAAAATGCAGGGCATGTGTGCTGCCAGACTTACATTTTTGCAAAGAAGAGTGAAGAAGGAACATATCCTCCAATTATGAGCCTTATAAAAATCCCTTGACCAAAACTGTCGCTAGCTCTCCGTCTAGTACGAAAGAGCAACTAATGTAATACCCGTCTATGTACTAAATAAATAAATAAATTTTTAAAGAGTGAAGAGAAGGGAATTCATTTTTTGTCCAATTTAAAATAATAGAAATTGAAGGGAAATTTTTGGCATTAAATAGAATAAAATGAAATTTCAAATTTTAGAGAATATAAAAAAAATTTTAATTATCTATTACAGACATTTTGGTATTTGTCGAATTCGAAATGTAAATTAAATTCCAATTACAATATTTGATAGTAAATTGACGTCATCAAAAACGTAACATAAATATTTATCTTAAATTCAAGGAAATTAAAAGTTTTATCAAAATTATTATTCAGAATATTTCAGATCTAGAAATGTACACGAAAGTTTCAAATATGTTAATTTATACAAATATGCTTTTTAAACTATTTGATTGAGAGTTTCTATTTCTTTAGTTAATT